AATTTATAAATTTAGACGTTATAGCTTACTATTTTGTAACTCATAACATATTGAATCCCTATCACTTTCAAGTCATGAATCTATAAATTCAAGGAAGAGATATGCACCACTCACCTAAAAATGCCTTAACATCAAACAATAAAGATTGTTCGAGACGACGAACTCGCAATCCTATCAAATAAGCGAGAAACAATATCAAAATCAAGTAAAACGCTAACTCAACTACAAATTGACTATACTAAGCTTGATCATTGACAAATTGCCTCCTACAAGCCAACAAAACTGTGGCCCAAAGTAATTATTCAAACCTATTCCCTATGGGGCGCTTGCAAGCGAAACTTCAAAAAATTCGTTTCGATCAAACAGTAATTTGGAATGGAATTTCGTCAAACCCTGTGGCTCGACAACTCTTTGAACTATCATTTTCATACAATTCCATAGCTCAACAACTCCTAAATCGGACTCCGCAATTCAGAATTCACATAAGTCTGAATTTACGCTTTAACTTCGAAAATTACTTTGATTAGATGAACAAATAGCTTGAATCGTTACTAGACATTGCGAATTGGAGTTAATCCGGCTTGTCGAGTCATCAGAGACATGTACGCGCAAATTTTCTCTCTCCTGTCTGCAGTTCCCTTAAGGCTAGATTAGATGGGCTTTGGGCTGGGTTTTGCTAGGCCCATAAATTACAGAGAGAGAGAGAGAGAGAGAGAGAGAGAGAGAGAGAGTAATGTTTGATAAGCTGCAAATGGACGCAATGGTGGTCTTGATGGTGGTTTTGTTGCTTGTTACGGGGTAAGAGGCGAGGTGAGGGGTTGAAAGCACACATGCACAATAAACACACGGGGGAGGGGGGAGTGCTAAATTAGGTTGAGCTTTTCTTTATTGTGTGATCGAACGTGCATCTACTTTACATGTGATCACACACAAATGAAAAATTTGACTATCTTAGGACCTTTCCTCTCGTGTCAATTTCGTTGTGTCTACTCGGTTTAACCTGTTATAATAATTAAAAATTAAATCACACATTCATTGAACAATTTTAGCTTTTAGAACTGTTGGCAATGATATCACCCAAATCTCACATGGTATTAAAGCAAGAGAGAAAGTGCACTGTTTAGAACTCAACTTACTATTTATCCGGTGAGGTTGTGCCTCGCCCAGACCCTGGCAGCCCTTGCTAGAGGCCGCAAATTTATCCAGTGAGACAGTGCCTCACCACCACAATGAAAAAACAGAAAAAAAGGAAGGAAAAGAAAGAGAAAATAATAATAATAATTTCATAAAAATTTTAAAAAAATTTTAAAATTGTTTACGTCAGCAACAACGGCACCACATTAATAATTTCTAGCCATAATTGACCAGATGGATTGAATTAGCATAAATACAAAAGGTTTAGAACTTAATTAGCAAAAAAATTAGGACTTTTCTATAATTTTCCCAACTCTAGATTTATCCATGCTTTTAATTCCAGTTGTCAAAATCTTCGGCTTGCACCATGCACCAAGCGGCAGGGGTCAAACCAATCGGCTTTCTCTCAAAATGTAGCTGTTTCCGCAACTGTTTCTGCACCTGTTTAATCAAAGCCAAACGAATAACAAGATTGATAAGTTACTATTGTCAAGCGGTATATTTGACATTGCAACAAAAAAAAAATGACATGGCCTGAGTCTAAAAGTTGCACAATTTTGCGGTAAATGATGAGTCGTATTTGAGTTCAACCTATATATTTTAAATTGACTTATATAACACAGATCAAGCTAAAGATTGTAAATTATTTTCGGCATGTATTTGTGTCTTACAAGGTAATATTTTGCACGAGATCGAACCTACTAGGCTTATGACACATCCATCGTGGAAGACAACAGCAAGGCCCATTGGGCATTGTACTTAAAGAGAAGTAAAACCATATTTTGTGGGACCATCATTTATAAACTTGACTTTGTACACGGTCGGATCCAATGTTTCATGTGCAAATTTGAAGTGAAATCAATGATAATTATTTCTCTCTGCAAGTTCATTAAGGGAAAAAAACAAGAATGAATGGATCCAATGTGTTGATAGTATCCCATGGAGCAAAAATTTAGATACCATCCTTGGTGTTTTAGAAATTAGATGTCCTAGTTGATTAGTTTATCTATTATATTCAAAACTCTAATAAGATAGGTCTAACATATGCTTACAATTGAACTATTATTGACCCTACTAGGAATTGACAAACATATATTCAAGTGTTTATTATGTAGAAATGTGTTTGAACGTATATTGACGTGTTTAAATATATCTAAAATCGTGTCAACGCAAGTAATATGTTAACCTATTCAATGAAACGGGTCTGAGAATATCATAAATGGGTTGAAAGGGTTACGAACGATATGTTTGTTGTTTTTGTATTTGGTTGGGTTGACCTGTTCATGTCCATGGACAAAACTGAGCTCCGATTGAGCACCCATAATCAACTACATGACATATAAACAGCGTTTACCTTGAAAGTAATGTTGTTTGTTCAATCTAGTTTTATAATTTTTCTTTTATGCAATGAAGTCCCTTAACTGGCACATTTGTGGGCCCAATTCCCTAAAAAACCTCTAACTTTACCCTTTGTCCCAATTATATCCCAAACTTTTTTTTGTCTTATAAAAAACCTCAAACTTTTACTTTTGTCCCAAATCTACCCAATTCACTTTTCGTCCAATTTTTTAATATTATTTTTTATTTTTTCGAATTTTTTTTATTTTTCTTTTCTTTTCTTTTTCCTTTCCTTTTCTTTTTTTTGTTTCACCTTCGGCCGGTCGCGCCGGCCCGGCTGACGGCTCAGGCGGGGGCGGGGTCGAGGCTCGGCCTCGGGCGTTGGGCGAGGCCGAGCCTCGCCGTGGTAGCGAGCTCGGTCCCGCCGGCATTGGGCGAGGCCAAGCCTCGCCAGGTGGCTGAGTGAGGCTCGGCCTCGCCGTTCTTTGGCGAGCCGACCTCGCCGTCGCCGCGTGGGGCCGACCTCGCCAGCCACGGCGAGGCTCGGCGAGCTGCTCGCGCTATTGGCGAGGTCGGCCTCGCCCGGCGGCGGCGTGGCCGAGTTCTCGCCCGGATCCGGCGAGGCTCGGCCCTCCGCGCTGGCGAGGCCGAGCCTCGCCGGCTATTGGCGAGGTCGGCCCCGCCGGCAACCGGTGAGGTCGGCCTCGCCCGGCAAAGAACGGCGAGGCCGAGCCTCGCCTCGACCATCAGCGAGGTCGGCCCCGCCGCTATTGGCGAGGTTGGCCTCACGGCCATTGGCGAGGTCGGCCCTCGCCCGGCAGCACGGGGCCAAGCCTCGCCCGGCCGGCGGGGCCGACCTCGCCGGCCCCCGCCTCTGGCCGGTCGCCGGTCCGGCGACCGGCCAGAAGGTGAAACAAAAAAAAAAGAAAAGGAAAGGAAAAAGAAAAGAAAAGAAAAAATAAAAAATAATTCGAAAAAATAAAAAATAATATTAAAAAATTAGACGAAAAGTGAATTGGGTAGATTTGGGACAAAAGTAAAAGTTTGAGGTTTTTTATAAGATAAAAAAAAGTTTGGGATATAATTGGGATAAAGGGTAAAGTTGGGGGTTTTTTAGGGAATTGGGCCCACATTTGTGCAATCAAATTTTTATTATCAATAACATCGTCAATATGTCGTTGTCTCAGTTTCCATTTGATATAAAACGGGCAATTATATCGGGACACTAGAAAATGAAAATTATCAGAGAAAATAAAATGAGGAACAGTAAAGATGAACACGAGAGGTTTACGTGGTTCGGTCCAAGTGTCGGAATTTACGCCCACGAGGAAGGCCAACAAATAATCCACTGTAAAATTGGAGAATCACAGAGTTGCAATAGCTCACGCTCAAGTGTTTTCCAACCTTATAATTTACATCCGAAATCCACAATGTTTAATCTAACCTAGAACACTCAAGATGGAGGTAAATATTACTCACAAAAGACATGGTGTTCAGAGCACCTATTCATCTTCTTCTTCGTGCTCTCACTTCGCTTGTCGAAGAGCTGACAAGGAGCTTTCTATTTATACACGACGAGAGCCCCCCACTTAAATCAATGATGCGACTGCGGTAAGTCTCCATCATGCTCCTTCGATTAATGTGCGCATGGGATCTTCAGTTACTCTTTCCTTTTGTCGGCTGCGGCTGGAAGGAAGGAAACAAACGAAAGAAACGAAAGAAGTAAATGAAAGGATACAAAACAAGCCCACCACTTTTACTTTGCCAATTCAACTTGCGGAGTTTCCCTGTGAGGCTAAAAGAGAGAAGCTTGTGGGTTCCATCCTTCATTTAATATCGTGGCTACAACACACGTGAAGTCAGAAAGAAAGTTCCCCTTGTGTGGCTGAGAAATAAGTGTAAACCCCGCGCGACACCGATCGCAACAAATTCCATGTGTATAAACATTTCATATAGTCGGCGATGTGGACTACGTGAATAGTTTTAGATCGGGTATTGTTTGATTGCTTAAACTCAAGACGTAATTTAACACTATCGTTGGGGAAAAAGAATAGAAAGGGAGAATGCTATTTGTTCGCAAGATAACGAGGTCTAATGCAATCTTGTTCGTGTCGTCCATCCCAAGCAATTCATAGGGGGAAGGAACTTGCCAAAAGCAGGAATTGGTGACAAATCTACTCTCTTGGACTTTCGTAAAACTATTCAAATTGACTTAAGTACAACTACACCATGAAAACCAAAGGGGCCGCAAAAACCAAAGAAAGGTTCATCTACGGATGAAAACATTGAAAGACATGGATGGACACATAGAATATTGTACTGTGCATGATTGAGATTGCAAAAGAAAAGCAATAAACTTATGCTGTTTATAATACGACAGGGAAAGACAGGGATGGGGATATTTATGAACACATCGAAGTACACACAGCTTGTGATGCAAAATTGAAATAACCCCATCAAAACTAGTGGATGTGGGTGTGGCCACTCAGAAATTTTGTCTTTAAACTTCACGTGACTTGTTGACTTCCAAAAGAGGAACCTTTGCAGATTCTTCTCAAATCCCATTTTAGAGAGGTCCCAAAAGAGTAAGATCACCAACGTTCTCTCCTTGGGCTGTACTCTGAGTCTGAGAGTGATCCATCATGAGCAGCTGTGTGTAGTAGGGAGGACTGAAAATAAAAGCCTAACTCCACCCGACTTATCATGCGAAGATGACAAACTTAAGCGTACCTTAACCCATATGCTTCCTGCCGGCAGATGCTATAAGGGTCTGATTTTTACGGAGTATTTACGGAGTGTTAAGCCCTTCTTCTTTAGAAAGCGATACCAATTCTTACAGATCAAGAATGGAGCAACCGTATGATGACTCTGGAGTTCCACTCTCTTATCAGCCCGAGAAGCTTGAACCTTATAATCACAACCTCGAAAATTCTGGTGAAAGAATCTTTCTTTAGTGAACTTTTGCTATTGGCTTTCGAGATACAGCAACCTCTTTTGATTTTATGATGTTTGCGTTAAAATATGTTGTTAGAGTTTTCTTTTTGCACTCTGCTGAATAAAGGTGTCTGATCTCTATATGAATATCACAGTGATTTTAACCGCAACACCGAATGTGGAAGTGCAATTCAACTGTTAACTTGGTTAATTGTATAAATTTTGCTGCGAGTCAGTCTTGGAAGTTTAAATTTTGGAGAAACCGCCCTGTTTAGAACTCAACTTAGTATTTGCTTCTGCATCTGTTGAAACATGACCAAGCGTCTGAGTCAGTGTGCGTGTTAACATAATGGCCTTTAATAAATGAGGAAAACTCTATGTCTCAGAACCGGTTGTAACAAGCAGTTTCAAAGGTGATGGGGTTCGTTCCTTCTGTTTGATGAATGGCATGAGCATTATTCCATAACCGATCTTTCGTTGGAACTTTCACAAACTATTGTCGAGTTGCTTTCAACAATCATTCACTAGTGGATGATGAATTATCTGCAGATGAAGTAAATGATTCTCCAATCGAGGAAGTGAGATTGACAGTTTCAATTAAGGACGATCCGACCTTGCCCTGCTTGACATTTCGAACATGGTTCCTGGGAATCACTGCATGCGCAGCTCTATCTTTTTTAAATCAGTTCTTCAGCTTCCGGCAAAACTCGCTCTCTTTGACGTCGGTTTCAGCTCAGATTGCGGTACTTCCTCTGGGAAAATTTATGGCAGCGGTTCTACCAAAGAAAGCGGTTCGCATCCCAGGGACTAAATGGTCCTTCTCATTGAATCCAGGGCCCTTCAACTTGAAGGAACATGTCCTCATAACCATATTTGCCAATGCGGGCTCGAACGGTGTGTATGCCATCAACATCGTCACCATTGTCATGGCCTTTTATCACCGTCATATTCATCCTCTAGCAGCCATGCTGCTAACACTAACTACACAGGTATATTCATTAGTAATCACTCTTGGCTTGGGCTTTGACAATCATTAGTGTTGATGTTTTCTTGCCCTGTCTACAAGCTACTGCGATTATTGACCTTCCATGATGGAACAAAATGTACGAAAAACTGCAGATGCTTGGATATGGGTGGGCGGGGATTTTCCGGAAATTCCTTGTTGATTCACCATACATGTGGTGGCCAGCAAACCTGGTTCAGGTCTCTCTCTTCAGGTATGCCTCAAAGACGGCTTTATTTTCTTCTTTCTCTGCAGTTACTTCTTTCGTTGTCAAGAGTCGACTTTCATTGGACTGTTAGGGCACTGCATGAGGAGGAGGTCAGGCCCAAAAGAGCATTGACGAGGCTGCAGTTCTTCCTTGTAGTCCTCGTATCGAGTTTTGCATACTATGTTGTTCCAAACTATCTGTTTCCGTCCATAACTGCCCTATCCTTTGTTTGTTGGATATGGACGGACTCGGTCACAGCGCAAATAATCGGCTCTGGACGTAGTGGTCTCGGTATTGGCTCCTTTGCCCTAGATTGGGCTACTGTTGCTGCCTTCAATGGGTCTCCGTTAGCCTACCCAGGGTTTGCAATTATAAACATAATCGTCGGTTTCTTCCTCACAGTCTACGTGTTAATCCGTATTGCCTACTGGACTAATGCATTCGAAGCCAAGCGGTTCCCCATTATCTCACCGCACATTTTTGATTCGAACGGACAAGAATACAACGTTGGATTAGTCCTGAATGAGACAAACTTCGAATTCAATCGGCAAGGATATGATGATTACAATAAAGTTCACATGAGTATCTTCTTCGCTTTTATTTATGGATTGAGCTTTGCGACCTTGGCAGCTACGGTATCTCATGTTGCTCTCTTCCATGGCAGGTGAATGCTTTTAAATCTTCATTGAGTATCACTAGATGGATAGAGAACTACCTCTATTCTCTCTGTTATTCACGTGCAAAATAAATCAACAAATTCTACAAAACTGTTGCAATAAAACAGAATAGCTTTTAGAAATTGACTGATAAAAACCATGTGGCTTACAAAATTGGTGGCACACAAACTTGCGGAGCAGTGAGAATGAATCATGTCAAAAGCAGATTCTAACATTCCATTTACAGGATTATTTGGCAACAAACAAAGGCAACTTTTCGAGATAAGTTCGATGACGTGCATACTAGACTGATGAAGAAGAACTATGATGCTGTCCCACAATGGTGGTTCTATTCACTGTCGCTGATAATGATCGGACTCGCCATGGTTGCTTGTGAAGGATTTGGTGGACAGCTTCAACTTCCGTTCTGGGGAGTCATGCTAGCAATTGGTATAGTTCTATTCTTCATGTTGCCGATTGGAGTAATCACGGCCACCACAAACCAGGTATAGTCAATATAAGTCGCTTTCAATCTTCTATGTAAATCTCCTCTTGCTATTGATGAGACGTCGCCTTTGATGATCAGCAACCTGGTTTGAATGTCATCTCAGAGCTAATAATTGGTTACCTGTATCCTGGAAGGCCTCTGGCGAATGTTGTATTCAAGACATATGGTTATGTAAGCCTAGTGCAGGCGATAACTTTTCTTTCAGACTTTAAGTTGGGCCATTACATGAAAATCCCACCAAAGTCCATGTTCATTGTTCAGGTAAATTCCGAGTGTCAATATTTACCACTTCCATGTCTCATCTTATGTTTAGTACTGTTGTCAGATAATTACACACATTCAAGTAGTAGGTACTAACATTGACTTATTTCTCCTGAATGAAGCTGGTGGGAACGGTAGTTGCATCTTCGGTCTACTTTGGCACGGCCTGGTGGCTCCTCACATCTATGGATCACTTGTGCCATCCGTCCAAATTGCCTGTGGGAAGCCAGTGGACGTGCCCTGGGTACAATGTATTTTACAATGCCTCCATCATTTGGGGTGTGGTCGGACCACTCAGGATGTTTGGCCGCCTAGGGCTATATGTCAAGATGAACTATTTCTTTCTCATCGGACTTCTCGCTCCAGTCCCGGTCTGGATCCTCTCTCGAATGTTTCCTGAGAAGAAATGGGTAAGGCTCATCAATATGCCTATCATCATAAGTGGCGCGGGGAACATGCTACAAGCCACGGTAGTGAACTACATATGTTGGATAACCATCGGAGTTTTCTTCAACATATATGTGTACAGGAGGTACCAAAGTTGGTGGGCAAGGCACAACTACATTTTGTCTTCTGGTCTTGATGCTGGTGTCGCCTTCATGGCCATTCTTTGCTATTTCACATTGCAGATTAGGGACATTAATGGAATGAGGTGGTGGGGCCTGGAATTGGATGATCACTGCCCTCTCGCTAGTTGTCCTACTGCTCCGGGCATTCAGGTTAAAGATTGCCCCATTTTTCATTGATCGGAGGACATCCCAAGTTCTTCGCTGATATGCAATGTCAAGTGGAAAAATATCTGTACTACTCACTACACGCTCATTTTTCTAGAGATACTTATACTGTTTAGTCTTCATGTGGAATTGAAGAAAATGAAATAGAACTTGTGGTGTGGATATGTCACGCCCCGAACCCCAACGAGCTCGCGGCATCCCCTGCTCCGGTCGAAATGATGCGACGTCCCAGGAACGTCGCCGACCCAACCCAAACATCAGAGCCACATGCGGAAGCGAATAATAAAACCCCGGACAAATAATGACGACAACGGGGTAGAACAACAGAACAATCCAGCAACCACATATTCATACAACACCAAATATACAAATATCATATTACAGACATAAATACAGACTAACATCCTCAGTCACCGTTTAAACAAAAGTTCAGGGGTTTGGTTATCTTAACTTCACTATCGGATAACCCAAGTTATACAACCCCTAAAATATCCTAGGGAAAGACCTAAGGGTCGCCCTCCTCCAGTCTGCTTCTGAATCTCTGGCTTGAATCTCTAGAACTCACCTGCAGCTCCACTGGGCACCAACAGCAGCTCCCCGGACTTCCAAAAAGAAAAGGCGCACTTCCCGGGTTTAGGGCCGGGGGTCTGAAAGTGGCGGTTATACAACCGTGAGACGAATCTCAATAAGTGTACAACCCCAAACCCCACGTAGGCACTCACGTACCGCCAGACGAAAACACACATAACACACAACGATCGGCTAAACTAACAATCACATGCGACCCTACCGGAATCCATCACGCACGTTCCAAAGACGTTAGACAATAACACGGCCAACACATCACGCAAGGAATCACAGACGCGCGCGTGCCTCAATTATAAGACAGAAACCACTTGGGCACGTCCCATACCGTGCCTAGCAGTTTCTACCCCATAATTAAGCATCACATCGCGCGATACGAACACACTCGCACGCTACTCACACCATGCGTCACTTTTCACAATCCTCTCGCTTATCTTGCCAAATCCCACTCATTTTCAACCTTTCCACCACTACCGTGCCCGCGTAAAACGCATCAGGCCAACGGTCTTCTGACCTCGTCAGGCATTGTCACCCCATCGGGCCGGGCATCGTCACCTCGTCAGGGACGGCATCGTCCCGCGTAAACGTACACGCCTCAGGACGGAATCCTACACACACTTTCCTTCTACCGCGCCCGCGTAAAACGCATCAGGCCAACGGTCTTCTGACCACGTCAGGCATCGACACCTCGTCAGGGACGGCATCGTCCCGCGTAAACGTACACGCCTCAGGACGGATCCTTTCCAACCAATCTCACATTTCCATATCCTCGTTCCACTCAAACCACACTTACACACAACCAGCACACGCACGGCCAAACATACACGCCTCACACATACATAGCCACGCACCAAATTCACATCTCACGTACACTTCACAAACACGCATTCTCATCACACGAACACCACATGATCACCCACACTCGGCACACGAACTCAATGCACATTCACATGTCCACGCCACCACACCTCACGGCCACACACACGGCATAGCACCACATCACATTCGGCCCAAGCACAAACTAGAACAAGCCAATGACAGCAAACTACACAATTAATCCGATAAACCCAATCAAGCCAATACATTTCCAATTAATCACCCATTTAATTCCCGATCGATCCTCGACATCACCGCCCTAACTCAGCATTCCTAAACCTCGAATTTCGTCGCCCAATCAGCCCACAACCTCCAAACATTCAACCCCTAACTTAGTCCCGAAGACAGCCACGAAACAGTCCATAAAATCACTTAAACCGAACTTCAAACGAGTCTAGAAATACCCGAGGTCCTAAATGACATTTGGGGAAAACACTTATCCAAAAAGGCGAGACAGAACGGGGCTGGAACGGACCGGGACAGCCGCAGCAGCGTCGCCGGCGACGTACGGACGGCGTGAACAGTGTACCCGTACGGACGCGGTGAACAGTACTTTTCGTACGGACAGGGCTGGGACGGTGGCCGGCGAGGTGCCGGTGACAGCCGCGGCGTCCGATGGGCCGGCGTGAACAGTGATCCGTACGGGATGGTGAACAGTACCCGTCACGGACACTGTACGACTGTGGCCGGACGGCGACGCACGACGAGGCCGGACGCCTGGGTGTCGACGGACAGCGATCGGAGCTCCGGCGAAGCTCCGGCGATCTTGTTTGCGAGACAGGAAAGAGAAAAAGAGAGAAACAAGGCTGTTTTGGACAAAAACCGGGCTGTGATGGCTGCATGCAGGTGGAAATGGTTGCTTGTGATCTTGGCTTGGTGGGGCGGCTCCGGCTAATCTTGTTCGGCGTGAACAGACTGGAATCTGCGAGCCGTACACGGCAAAACCGAAACGGAAGAAAAGGGAGAAGAATTTGGGGGAAATGGGGAAGCTCTCGGCAGAACAGAAAAATGAGAGAGAGAGAGAAGACTATCTGGTCAAATGGGTCAAAGTGGAGTCCAAGTGTCAAGATCTAAGCCCATTTGACAATTTTACCCTTGATCTAATGGCTATTTTTCCTTCTCATCCAATAATTTAGGGGTAAAATGGTCCTTTGTCACTAACCCAAGGCTGACCAGACCTGGATTAAGTCAAACTCACCTTGGTTAATCCCAAAATTAAATCCAAAATTCGGAATTACCAAAAATGGGTCCAAGGGCATTTTGGTAATTTTCCGATCCCGAACCGAAATTCTAATTTTCGCACATACGTGTTCCATATGTGCGTGGCCAACATAATATGGCGTCGGAATCGCGAAATTCATCGCGCAAACCCTCGAAAATCCACGTCAAAGTCTCGGGAATAAAATAATATTATTTTTCCAATTTTTGTCGAAATTCCAATTTTTGGCCAAAACCACTCTGAATGTGCGTGGCCACCCCAAAATGACCTTGGCCGCGAAAAATAACCTCAAACGGCCTCTCGAATCCGGCCTCGGTGCCACAGGGCAAAACCAGTAATTTTCCGGCCCGGACCGAAATCCATTTTTTTGCAGAAATGGGTGGCCCCAAGGTTGGCCAAGCCAAAAACGTCATCGGCCGTCCAAAATTGTCACTTTCAAAATTCTCGATTCCCGGGCCCGAATTCCAAGAAATGACTAAAATCGAACAATCGTGACTTTAGCTTATTTCTGGCTAACGGGTGGCTCATTGGGATTACGCGCTCTCGACCCGTGACCGACACTAAGTCAAATCATGTTTAAGTTTACTCCACCCGGGACGACCTCGGTTGTCATATAATTGTGAGGGTCTGTCGCTAGTTCCCTTCGGACACGATCAATCAAGTAGACCGGTCTCGGTTGGCTCAAAACATTCCCTCGTCAATCCATATGGTCGAAGATCGAACCCAGGTCGAGTTCTTTGGTCGTGCGAACTCAATCCCGTAATAGCCTTACCCCTAGGGTTAGCATCCCGAGAATGCGCGGGTCCCGGGTGAGATCTCACTATAGTGCATTGATCAAATTCATTTCCTAAATCCCGGGAAAATGATCGAAAATTCAGACTGTTACAGGATAGATCTTTTGCCCTTATTTTTCACTACAGCCCTAAATTTGATGAACCAAACGGCTTCATAAGCCATTAACCATGGTGAAGAGAATGCGAGTGTAGAAGTCGAACCAAAAAGAGAAAACTCATGCTTCTGCTGACATTATCCTAATATCATTCAGCTTAACAATTTACATCAAGGGATACTTTACATCATGCCAATCTTGCTGTAGTTTTGGCAAGCAATTAAACATTAGTCCGTCTTGACAAGAAAACTGTATCAAGAGGGTCCATTTGAAGATGCGCAAAGGCTGGGAGCTAACAAAAATTAAGAACAGAATTGCTGCTGCTCGTGTTTTGGAGAAACAGAAGGTGAGAGTTTGATTTTGACACCCCCAAAGTACTGAAGCAGAAATGGAAAACGTATGTCTTTCTTGTTCTTCCCCGGAGACTCTTTTACGGAGAAATTTCCATTTTGCTTTCTTTTGCTTAAAGGACTTTGAACCGGAATTTTATGAAATGCCTCGTCTTCTTTCCAGGGTACACACAAGAAGGATCCTCTTGAGAATATGCAATTTGTAGGCCTGGCTTATAACATGTTCTCGTTCATGGAGGAACCGGTGGGTGAGTACTTGGAAAACGGTCGGATCCAATGTTTCTTGTGCAAATTTGAAGTGAAATCAATGATCATAATTTGCTTTTAACAACTTTTTTTTTTTACCAAGGGAACCCCCGCACGGCCGACAGCCGGGAGGTAAACCCTGGGGGCGACACGTGCTAGCCACCACACACGTGCACCGGTTAAGTCACCCTGCGGCATCCGGGATTCGAACACTCAATTTTTGCGAAAGGAAGAGTGCGCACTCCAGCAGCGCCACCCAGGCGGGTGGTTGCTTTTAACAACTTCATTAAGGGAGAAAAACAAGAATGAATGATCATAATGTGTCAGACACTATGCAATGGTGCAGAAGTTTAGATACCATCCTTGGCACGTTAGAAACTATTGATTAGTTTATCTATTTGGTTAGAAACTGTAGTAAGATAGCCCTAACATACGCGTAGAATTTAGCTATTGTCGACCCTGCTATGAATTGACAAACGTGTGTTGACATGTTTAATGTGTAGAAATGGGTTTAAACGTATATTGATGCGTTTAATTTTATCTAAGGCTCCATTCGTTTGGCGGAAAATATTCTCCTTTTAGAAAATATTTTCCTGAAAGTCATTTTCTTGGAAAATGTTTTCCCGGAACATAATTTTCCGGTGTTCGGCGACCAATATGAAAAAGTTTCGGAAAATATTTTTCGGGGCGTGGCGGTGGCGGCGGCGGCGGGCGGCGACCGGGCGGCGGCCGGCCGCGGCGACAGGCGGTCGGCGGCGGGGCGGGCGGGCGGGCGGCGGCCGGCGGCGGCGGGCGACGGCGGAGGCGGCCGGCGGGCGGCGGCGGGCACGGCGGCCGGCGACAGCGGGCGGGCGGGCGGCGGCGGGCGGCGGCGGGCGGGCGGCGGGCGGCGGCGAGCAGCTGACGGGCGGCGGCGGCGGCGGCGGCGGCGGGGGTGGCCGGCGGCGGGGGCGGCGGCTGGGGCGGAGAGCGGCGGGCGATCGG